AGGAAGAAAAAGAAATCCCAGCAGCGAATTTCAGCCGAGTTTAACCCAAGGGGAGGGGGGGGGAGATCGGTGCCATTATTCACCTTCAATTTTGCCTTATCGCTCATTACACGGCCCACCCAAGCTGCGGATCCGTTATACGGAACACACATAGAGTGAGGCGCGCGCCAACCATGACATATACACCAACATTATGTGTGCAGTGTATATGCATGCACACGTATATAGTTAACGGATTCCGGCACACGCTATCAAAACGTAATTAGATCACTCGTGCAGGGTCCGTAACAGTTTATGCCCCATAAACTCTCTCTACCTTCACCCACTGTGCAATGCGCATATAGAGCTAATTACCATTGAAAGATGTATACGTTTGTATACGTGCAACGAATGGCCCAAAGTTACGACCCTCGCCGAGTCGAATTTATAATATGTGCTTATGGAAGATTTTTATTTATTTTTTTGTCTTTTCTTTATACTAAAGATTCGAGGTGCGAGTGTGCATATATATATATAACCATGCAAAAGTTTCAAATGGTAATCGATCGCGGTAGTTTCATTCTCGTGGGTCGAGTTGAAACGAGGTTGAAATATTAAAAAAAAATGTTTTTCAAGTTGTCGTGACTCTTTTTCATCACCCGAAAAAGTCCAAGCCGCAATTAGCATCTCCCTCGGCCCGTGGTTTCCTCCGCGAGCCGAGTACTTGCCGCAATCTCGCGAGACTCGGAAATTTTTCATTTAAATTCGCTGACTCCGCTCTACCCCTCCCGAATCTCGGTGAGCCGGGCGTATTCGTCCTTCCTCAAAAACCAGCGAAAAACACGCTCGTCTAATGAAAAAACCTCCTCACTGGCTTTCGTTACAACTCGTGGTACATCTGTAGAGTCGAGTAACTCTTTTGCTCTTGTGTTATTTATTTTTTTTTTTTTTCCAGCGTCTCGGTGGGATCTGGCGTGGCGATAGGCGGCTTTTTTTCACGCGCGAAAGGGAGATTTCACAGGGAAGATTAAAACTAGAAGAAGAAAGGAAAATCCGCTCCCTTCCCCTCCCCCCGGCCCTCATGAATAAGTTATTGGGCCATCGGTGTTATTCTCCGTAGCTCTCGATTATTACACGACTTGTTGAGACGAAAGGGAATTAATCGCTCCGGTGTTCTCGGGGTAAATAGCACCGACGTGATTTTTCATCTCGATCGACGATTAACTCGTTCGAAGATCAAGGTAATTGCATCCGTACATGACTTCCCGGGAGACTGGAGAACTCAAGTGACGCGAGACTAGAAAGAATTCTTGCAGATTGCTTCTGTCCATCTTGGAGGCGTCTTTGGAGGATTTCATCTGTTAGACATTTACACGAAATCTTAAGGGTAAATAATGCGTTTGCTTGAGTGTATAAGAGCTCCAAAGAGCCCAGATGGGCTGGGGGCTCCTTATCGGTTTAGTTTTGTCAGTCGCCAGTGGAGATCGGAGATATGACTCTATTGTTCCAACGGAGCGCGCGCCGATTTTCGAGCATAAAGCATACGCAGACTTTGGTAATGGAATTCCAAGATCTTCGTCGACGTGGAATGGCAAAAACTTAGAAATCTTCATTCAACAAGCGTTGGCGCAATATTTCAAAAATATCTCGCAACCGAAGCTTAGACGTCACCGAGTGGGGGAAAAAAAAAAGGAAGAAGAATAAGTAAGTACCCTTACGTCGTATAAACACAAGTGGCGAAAGAAATAATTCACGCCTGAGCGAGTCTGCGGGAAAAAAGGCACGCGTGTGTGTAAGCCAGCCAGAGAGCATTATATATATATGTGTGGGAAATGAAGAGTATTAAGTATAGTAGGAGGCGAGAAGAAGAAGAAGAGGGAGAATAATGGTCGGAAATGGCCTGGGATCGTTCTCAGGAAGACCCAGGCGAATAATTAAGCGAAAGAGATTACATGCAGCCACTGAAAAGAGGGAAAGGAGACGAGCTGTATACGTATATGTTTTTGCGCAGTGGATGTGTTTCCCGACACGCCATAGTCCTCTCGGTTCTCAAAATATTTTTTTTTTTTAATCCTTGCGCGTACAGCCATTGTGTCACTCATTGGTGCACCGATTCATCTTATAAATGTATTATAGGTACACCATTGAAATCGAAAATGACCCGATCCAATCGGAAATCTAAAAAAATAGTGCTACGGCGAAACCATTACCTATGCTCCGATTAAAACGATAACCAAAATAATTGAAGACCGATAAATTAAAACGAGAAGGGGTTATTGAATTAGCTCCTTCGGCGTGGCTAATTGGCCGTTTATTCGGAGGCGAATGGTGGTTGTGTCTAGCCCATATAGGAGTCGATTTTCTCAGGTAATAATCGTCCCGCCGATTTCCTCTCACGCGTCGGTGCAATCTCACTCGTTACCCCTCGCTTTCCGTCTCCCTACCTTACATATTTTTTTTTCATCCGTACCACGCGCAATTGAAGGATCGGAATAATAACGAGCGATGAAGAAGTTTATGCTAATCAAACACGGGACGCGTTGAACCGATTTTTTATTTTTTCAAGCTCAAAGCTTAAAAAAAAACTAAAAACCGTTACTCGCTCCTACTCCCTTTCGTACGAGTAAGTGCATGTATATATACCTACACGTAATTTTATTGTTTCACGCAGCTCGCAGGTGCGCTCGAGTCGTTTCACGGCTAGTTTCGATTGGCAGAAGGGCGGAAGAGATCAGCGGATTGATGGACTCGCGATTTATCGGCACATATTCACACAACAAAGGCAGAAAGCCCTAGGCTCCTTTTACAGAGATATTATATGCATCCCGTGGGCGTTGAAGTCATTTCAGTGATACGTTGATAAACGTATACGTATCAATTTGTAAGTAGGTATGCGAATTGAAACGTTTTCTCCCATTAGAAAGAAAAAAAAAAAAAAAAGGCAACCAGCCTCCCTCTCTACAGCATCGAGGTAGCACCGAACGCCTGGGGTCCCTGCATGTGCGTCGAACAAAAAAAGATAATCCAATTTCGCACTCCCCCCCCCCCCGGGCCATGCGAACCGATCGGCCATTAAATACCTCAAAGTAATATCATTAGCAAGAACAAAAAGTGCCCCACTTTGATATTCATTTGACCGCCGTCTCCTCCGAGATTTTTTTTTTCTGGTTCGCGTTGTATTATTGTACACTTGGGGTTCATCATTAACAAAATTGCCAAAGGCTGATTTAATTATAAATATATATATGTACACGTACGTATGTATATCTGGATCTGCTCTGTTTTTTTTTTTTGTTGTTTTTCTCTTTTGAAAATCATCGCTGCCGCGACCTACATTGCTCGTGTTAATTAGACGCTACACTCGCGCGCTTATGTGTACACGGACACGTATATTTATCTAGTTCGACCGCAAAGGACTTTTCTTTTTTTTTTTTTTTTTTCATTCCTCTTTGGACTCGAGTCCCTCTCTCCCCGCGGAGGAGAAGGATTTAGCCGCGAAAGAAGGTCAATTTGTCCTTTTTCGCCTCGAGCCGGCTTTCGCTTCTACGGCATCAGCTCCTCCTCGACCGACCTTTCATCCAGAATTTATGGAGCTTTTTGAAGTGGATGGCTGTTGAGAGCAAAAGAAAGGGTTGCGGACGCGGTGCTTTTTGAGGAGACTAGGGGCGACTGCTTTTTTTCCTCCTCTTCGAGAATTGCGAGGTGCTGCAGGGAGGATAAGAGCCGCTGTGTGTGCGTGTGTGTGTTTGTCACGGCGGATTCGCGGCTTAATTAAACAGCTTTACCTATATATTTTTTTTTTTTTTTTTTTTTACTCGTAGATTTTGATGCGGAATATTAAAATAGTATCGCATCTGGGTCTCTGTGAAGATGGGGAAGTACGAGCATTTTTGTGCTTGCCTCGTTGGTATGGTGCATGTGTTGTGATTTGCTGAATAATAAATGTTAATTTTTATACGTTCCTACTCGCGTTGGGTGTATGTTTACTAATTTAAGAATCGTATCAACAATTGATTTTGACATTTGAATTATTTGTAACAGTAGGAAATTTTTTTGAAACTAATTTTTTCTTAAAATTCACTCTTTTGTCTTCAAAATGAAAAAAAAAGTTTTCTCTAGCTTTAAAAGAACCAGAGTCATGAATTTTTGAAAATGAGGCTCCAAGTCAAACATCACGAAAATCTAAAACTTTCAACCCCCTCCTATGAAAACAAAAATCTTCGAATTCGTACCTCTTTTCTTTTTTTTCTTTTTTCTATACAGAAACAAATTTTCAGGCAAGTCAAAAATGGGCCAAAAATCACGTGGATTACTTAGTTGTAAAATCTCTGGTAAAATTTTCTCATCCACCAACTGATTATTTTGTAATTGACGGTACCATCTAATCTTTGCTCTAATAGACGGTTAATTACTCCCGTTATTTCATAATTAGGATTGGTCAATTATACTTACAGTTGACTGAAAAAAATGACACTGTTATTCGTCTACCCCGTGTGAACAATCGTTTTAAAAATCTGCGACTCGCGGTTGAACGGACCACTAGTGTCATCTCTGAACAATGTAATCCAACAGTGAAACACTCGGCGTCTATGCAATGTGATCGTCCGTTGGTAACGACGGTAATTAATCAAGCGGTGTGACATACGTTTTATATATATATAGGTATGCTCAATGGCCACTGCAGGCAGACGTCATTCTCGCACAAAATGTGTTCTTTTCTGTGATTAAAGGCCTACGCAGTCAAATTAACATAAGGTGCACAGTGCACACGGTGCACAAGAATAACATTGGTTGGTATACCTATATACACAATGCACAGCGCGTTGTGCTTTGTGCAGTTGTGCTTTACGTTTTTACATATATAGATATACCAACCAATGTTATTCTTGTGCACTGTGTGCACTGTGCACCTTATGTCAAATTGACTGCGTAGGCCTTTACGGACGTTCAGTAGATACAGCGGGTGTGAACACTTGCGGGGCAAGGGGGAACACTTGCGGGTCTCCAATACCTATGCTGCAGTCTGCAACTCTGCAGTGTCTGCCGTGTCTGTCTGCTCTTGCTGCGTTGCAGGTTACGGCATAACGGCAGCGTTATGTGTATATTTGTAATGTATTTGTGCTAAAGATGTAAGTATTTGATTTTTATTCGTTATAACAATGTAATAAAAATGAGTGAATAATTAAAAAGACTTGTGACAAATATATGTACATACAATTATATTCGTAGCTAATGTAAATAAAATTCTTGAATTTTTATGTGACTTGAAAAGTCTCATTGGAACATTGGAAGTGATATGTTAAATAATTAGGACATACTCTAGTCTCTCCGATTACTACAAGCATGTGATTTTGTTATCGTGTGTAAAAAAATTGTATCGTATAAAAATTACAAATCAACAATTTTACTAAGAAAAATAAAAATGTGTTATTATAATACATTGTTTTGTTATGGGTACGGGTGGAGCCTATGTACATATTGTACATACATTCATACACTTATACAAGCTTATGTTTTATACAGAAATACATAAATATCTACCAAAATATTTACTGATGTACGTCTTGGAACATTTTGAATTTCCCGCTTCTTGCAACGTTGCCGTTACGTTTTTGTCAAACTATTATTTTATTTTTTTATTCATAAACTAATCAGACGATCGTCACGAAACTTTTTATACATATAGTTGATAACATTATCTGTGACATATAAAAAAATTGGAGACATTCATAACTCCAATTTTTTTAAAATCGAGTTTTTATAAGATTCCCCATAAGCGACCGTGTTACAATGACCTAACTTTGAAATTCAATATCTCGGAAACGAAACAGACGAACCTCTTGAAATTTTAACAGCTTTAAGAATGCGTTCCGAAAGTCACACAAGGTAAAGTGACCACTGGAGCTGAGGTTCGAAATGCCAAAACAAATCGCGCTTTTTTCCATAACACCGTCGCTAAAAATCACGATTTGTTTTGGCATTTCGGACCTCAGCTCCAGTGGTCACTTTACCTTATGTGACGATCTGTGACAGCAGCGTTGCCATTTACACGGTGAATCTGACTTTCGGAACGCACCTTGTAACAACAATAAGAACGTCTGGTTAAAATTTCAAAACGATTCATCACAGGGTTCTATCTTTACCGAACGTCCTTAATCATCATCTTTTTATTACGACAACGTCATACCTATTGTAATTATGACTGCTGGTGTGAACAGCATTGATAATTTTCGGCGTGAGTCGCGCCGCTGAAGCTTAAAATTTGTATGGTGTCCGGCGTTTGCCAACTGGAACAGTTTATTTAGGTTAGAATTTTTAAGACTGTACTCAACACTCTGGAATTGGAATTTGTGCCGAATAATCGAGGTTTCTGTTATTTTTAGAGCTATAACTTGGTCAGGGATTAAAAGTGTCAGGGCGTGTGGTTCCATAATTTCCAAAAGCAGTGTTTACTTACTTGCAGTGCAGGTAATAATATTCAAGTCGATGTGAGGTGGGTCGAGCAAACATGGACGAGATCAAACGGGAAAATGACTCGGATTTCATAAATTTACTGAAGGAACTGAAAAAAGAGGGTGAATTAGATTCCAAAGAGTGCCTTGAGCAGCAAGTGTTCAAGTGGCGTAACACCATTGAATACGAATATCTAGAGAACTGGTTGACGAGCGACAATGAAGAGGTTTCTTTCAATTTCTTTATTTATGTTACGGTAACTTAAAAAAAAAGTTTCGTTGTCCCTATTATTTCTTTCATTGTTTTTTAGTGGCGACTCGGTGCATTGTCACTGCTTGCGATATCCAAGAAAAGCACACTCGGCTTCACAGAGCAGGAACTCGAATTGATCATTACGTTTTTAACATGCAACATCAGGGACAGGATCGAGTACGTGCCTCTTATAAAAAAGGCATGTGTCCACACATTCTATATCTAAGAAATCGCTGTAATATGTCAATTATTACTTACATCATTACTTTTGACATTTAGGTTTTGAAGCGACTCAACGACAGCTATATGGTGATGAATCGCCAATTGGAGAGGGAAATGAAAAAATTGGAGAGCGAGCATTCCGTGGTTCATACAGATCCACACGCAAAATCCAACATCTCAGCAAACATCCTGTCCTACAAATCTTTTGTAACTACTTTACACGCGGTGTGCGTAAGAAATCTCTACCCTGGCGCAGTAAACGTCAGGAAAAAATCGAGCCTACAGATACTATGTCTGATAAATGAGTTCTTATGCCAAGATCTAACAGACACTCTGTACAGCCTTGATGATTATAAGGTACTGTTGGATTGCGTTCTCCTAGATACCTACGAGAACAACAAAGAATTGGCGTATTTTCTGATTGAGTCAACAAAGCTCACCGATACGTTTTTCGATACTCAAGAGAAACTTTCCGAGCTCATCGAGGTTGCCGTGCAGTTGGCCGATAACGTTCGGCCTCTGGACTGCATTGCTGCGGCTTACATGCTGAGAATAAGCATGCTGTCCTCGAGAGTAGAGGAGGTACTTATCAAAATGACCAAGTTCAAGCCAAGCGATTGCTTAAAGAAAAAAACAGTTTTTCAGATGATGAAGCTGTTAACACTAAACTTAAAGGTATTGCGAAAGTTTTCTAGCAAGTTATTGGACTTGTTACCTACGTGATGATGATTTTCAACATTTGTTTCAGGGTCCGTTTCAATTAGTCAGGAAAAGCATAGTTATGGCTACGAGCAAACATTCGCTGTATGGCTATGTATTTTGTATCCATAATATATTAACAACAATTGATTTAAAGTAAGTGGAAAAACAAAACGATCGTTTTCTGGAGCCAGCAATCATAGAAAACTTATTTATCTTTTCAAATCAGTACTGTAGATGACTATTCATGGCGGAATTTGATGACTGATATTGTAAATATATGCTTCATATTGATCGAAGGTGTCTCAGAAATTGTAAATAACTCGTCCCCAGAGGGACACCTGCCCATGGACCTCGATTCTCGGCACTTGAACTGCATCACGAAGGACGATGATAATGTCGTGGTCACCGCCCAAAGGGTCCTACTTTGTTCCTGGAGAACGGTCAAAGAAATCAGTTTGTTTTTTGGTTTTTTGGCTGGCCACGCCCCCATAAAAACCGAAGAATTGACAACTGGCCTATTGCATGAATATCATGTGAGTGAATGACTCAAATTTAGTCCTAATATACTCAACAATTTACTTCTGATCATAAATGAAAGTTACAAAATGATTGCAGATGATACAAATCGGTAACGAATTGTTTACACTTTTATGCGAGACAAAGCACAGAGGGGCGTTTGAACAAGCTCACGTTGGCTTTCAGCAGCTGTGCAACCGATTGTGGCATTTGGACGTCGAGAGTTCTGATTTGCAAAATTTGCCAAAATTCTGGTTGAGACAGATATTACTTGCCGTGGTTGGCTTGACGACTGAGAATTCAAAACTGTGCGCTACGAGACGAAGCGCTGGGGTGCCGTTTATGGTTCAAGCACTGGTCACTTCGGAGATTAAAAAGCACGGTAACGCGAAAAATTACATCTTCCATCCTGTGATGAACATTTTATTGAAGCTTGCCTTCTTGAACGATGATTTTAATGTGGCCGAAGTAAAAACGATACTGAGTAGCGAAATTTTGTTATTCACTGATGAGTACTTGGAAAAGACAACAAAAGAGTGTACACAGTTGAACGAGATTACGGAGATAAAAAGCCATGCTCTAAACATTTTGAGAGCCCTGTTTAGACACTGTCTTCTCGGGGATTTAGTCAAAGACTACATAGCTGATGGTTTCATCGTCGCTTTCAAGAGTTACGATGGTAAAACGTGGGCTGTAAGTGTGTGGTAGACGTTTAATTAAAAAAAAATTCTTTGTTAAAATTTTTCAAATCTTTATCGCTTGACAGGAAAGGAATGCAGCAACGTTGTTGTTTAGCTCTCTTATGGTCCGTGTTTTCGGAGTACAGAGAACCAAAGACCACGTCAACCTATCAGTGTTCAACCAGATGTCTGGAAAAACGTTTTTTGGCAGATATCCCGCTCTATCAGAATTCATATTCTACGAGCTGAAAGCATTCGTCAACAGTCCCGAGGATGAAATTAAGCCGAAGATCCAGTGCATGCTTTTGATACTGTCCAGATTGATGCCCAGTTCTTATTCTTGGAATTACAGTAAAGGGGATAAAAGTAGCTGGCAGGTCATTATTTTGTAGAGTTTTTTGTCTTGCTCATGAGAATTATTCGATTTAAACAATACACTCGTTTCAGATGGATAATTTTATCGATTTAGTATCAAAATGTAGCAAAAGTAGAGTTTGGAAAACCCGTGAATTAGCAGCGAGAGCGTTAGTGCCATTAATAATGAACCACAATATCCACGCCAAATGTTGCAACATCATACAGTTGATGACCTCGAATAATTTACCTCACAACTTGTTGCATGGCTATACTTTACAGGTAGATTTTTAAATTTTTCTTTATTATGGTTCAAAAAAAAAAAAAAATTAGTTCATTGACAACGATCTGACTTTAGTTTCTCCAGTTTGCAAAGAGCCCTGTTTTCGAGAAGATTCCATTCTCAACGGAAGAGATTCAGAAACTTATCAATTTTACTGTCATACTACTGGATAATCTTGAAAATTCCGAGAAAGCCTGTTTCCCGGCTTCGACTGCCGTTCTAGAGATTTTTATCGAGTTGTCCAAAATGAATCCATACAGGTAATTCAAATACATTCAAAGTGACAACAACAAAAAAGTCATATTACAGAAAATTATACTTCCTTTTCCCATTCAGTTATATCTGCAGAGGTTCAAACTATTTAAACCTGCACGTAAAAATTCAAGCTCACTTGATGGACAACAACGTGCTCAAGAGAAAGCCCGGTATCGAGTTGTATGAGGTCGCGGCGATAAATTTGCTTCTAACTGAAAATTACTTCGGTTCGCTGATAAACAACGAATACTTTTCCCCTCAGTTCTTCGATTATTTGTTGAAGCATCGAAACGAGGAAGTTTTGTCGATCTCCTGGTCGAAATTAATTTATGTGATACTAAAGACAAACAATGCGATGTTGTACGATCTCGGATTTTTAAAGGCCGTCAAAGCTCTGGATAAACCCGCAGATGACCCTGACTTGCAAGAGTCAATTCATGACTTTTTGTACCGCGCTCTTCAAGAGATGGAGAGGGGCAACGAGTGCACCGAGTGCACGTTTTCCAAGGACGACGAGAAGGTCTACATGTGTATGCACATCTTTACGAAAATGAGTCAGGCTATGAAAGCTAAAGATTTTCATCCAAGGGGAAATTTTTTAAAATTGTTTGCAAGGACTTTTGGATACTTACTGAGGACGAGGAAGGTATCGAGTGTTTATGTTATTTAAAAAAAGTTTACTGGAAAAAATTGAGAGCTTCACGAGTTAAATTTAAATTAAAGGATACCGAGCTGACGATGGCTGCCAAGAAAGTTATGTACGATGCCATATCCACCTATTCCACTATGGAGTCGAATATTGATTGCCGAATTGGTATATCCGAAGTGATGCCATTGCTTTACATTGGGATCAACGACAAGACAAAAAAAAACGACATTTGTACGTTTTCGTTAACAACAATTTAAATTTACAATGAATAATTGATCTAGCAATTGAAGAAACATTTTTTTTTCACAGATCTTATACTTCAGTGGTGGACCACACTTTTGCAATTACTTTACGATGACAGCGCCGAAGTTCGTAGTAATGCAATACTAATAATTAGTAACTTAATGCCGGAAACCAAAACTTACTGCGAGACAATAGTCACGGATACATTTTTCATGAAGTTTGCGTCTGCACTCACAGAAGTGGTCGAAGCCGTGGCAGCTGCTTGTTTCTGCTGGAGCATGAAATCAGCCGCTATTGTTCTCGAAGAAATCGATGAGGCCGATGTAAGAGCCATAATTCGAATTTTCATTAATTTTTTGCTGTTTATTAATTTCGAACAAAACCGCAGGTATTCAACAAAAGTTACAATTACGAGTGCTTCGAGCCTCTGCACATTGCAAGAAATTGCTGCTTACACTTGAGATGCGGTGTCTTAAAGCACAATGTCAATTCGCTCACACTGCCGAAGCCGCTAAAAGAATGGCTGCAAATGGAACTTCATCTGAACGAGAGTTTGGAATTCGAGACGCTCGACGAATTGATCGACAAGTATAAAGTAATGGTTCCCGAATGTGAGAAGACGCTCAAGAGGGTACTGGATCCGGCTTATCCTGCCAAATTAATAAACGAGATCGTCTACGAAGAGATGAAAAAATGCTGTGATACAGAAGGCCGCCTAAATATTGAGTAACATCATAATATTATCACGAGTTCGATTCGATCGCCATTACCTGCCGCGAGTGAACAATCAGACACTCATAGTTCGAATTAGTTGCTAAATCGATTTTACATAGGTAAATATGTAATTTATATATGATACGGAATGTCGAGGGGTACAATTGTATTTGAACTCTCGCGTCAAATCAAAAGCGCCTGTTTCTCATCCCACGGACTGTACACACAATCTGACGAGAATCGAGAAGCTGCTGATTTTTTGTACATAAGCGTATGAGGACATTGTTTTGCATTTTTTTAAAACGTAACAGTTTTATTACAAGTATACGCGTACGGTATCCACATAACAACTCGAAAGACTTTCTTGCAAACATACATGCGCCTAATAGCTAAGAATCTAAATAATTTATATAACGCACAAAAATATTTTAGTCATGTATTTTGTTTAGTTTTTTTTGTATCATTATTCGTATACAGACAACAATCTGAAAAAAAAAAAATTCAATAAATCACGTTGAATCTTTTACAAAACGTACTTTACGCACCAGTCGAATGAATATTCCAAACCCTAAGCGCTACTGATTCTACCGGGTTCTATCGTCCTGTAACGTGCGGAGAAACGAGCTCACTTTCCAGTCACCTCTTATTTCCTCTGCGCAAAAATTCGCCGCACAGAAGAAAAAAAAAAAAAAAAAAAAAAAAAAACGAAAAAGAATAGAGATTTGAATCGGATCTTGAACGGTGTGGGCTGGTGCGAGGGAGGGACATGCATTCTTTAGCGAAAGGGTACGTTCGCTCTCTATTCCTTATTCAGCAGGAGAGGAGAGAGGAGTTGGTTCTTCGAGTTTTTTCTCTTTTTTTTTTCTCCCATGGGACACTTGCCACCACCACGCCAACGGCAGTCGGACTGGGTTGTTGGGTGCGCAATAAAGAATAAAAAATCGGAGTGTGAAAGGGGTGGTGCTGCCTTGCAGTTGCAACGGCAGGTGAGATTTTTTTTCTTCTCAGGCAGTTACTAAAAAAAAGTATGAATTAAATTTTTTTTTTTTTTTTATTTATAATTCGAACAATGTCCCAAAACACAAAAATTTGCTCTCCTCATTTCGTACACCTATGAGGGGGGGAAAAAAAAAAGCAAGCTCCTACCACGTATAATATACTACCACTTGAGAGATGAGAGCTTGCAAGCCTTTCCCCCGAGCTGCACACAATTGCACGTCAACTTCAATAACGCCCGTCTCGCGGCGGCGTCAGCCCCTATATAATACACGTCGTCGTCACAGCCGCCTCCCCCCCCTCCTGCTCGACTTTAACACGGTGAAAAAGAAGAGCCGAACGAGAGGGTGAGAAAGGGAGGAGCGGATGAGCAAAGTCGACCGGTGACTGATCTCTGGAGCGCACCGCCAGTCTGCGCCACGTTCGGATCTCGCGCCACCACCCGCGGCCTGTCTGCTATTGCTCCAAAATTCCGATCCGTCTGCGTGTGTACACACATATATGTATACACACCCCCCCATCTATATATCCGTCTCCTTTACTCCACCACCCCCACGAGAGGCCCATTGAATCCTACACTCAGCGGGGGTGTGTGTATATTTGGTAACATACCTATACGTGGTGGAAAATCGAGGTGCGCGTGCTTCGGACAAATATACACATACCTACAAGGGGAGGGTGAGTGCGAGGAAAAGAGAGACAGTTAGTGTCGTGCCGAGAGCAGAGGGTCGAGCACACGTGTGCAGCTCGATTCGCGTCTGCTACACTTTTGATGCAGATCTGCGATGTTGTTCTGATGTAGTGCATTATAGCTCTATATGTATAACACACCGTGTGTATGTTTACTTATTAAATCATCGGACACATTTGTAAATAGATGGATCATCAAGATGAGGACCTAAAGAGGTGGAACAGCAGCACCTTCGTCGTGTCTCCTCTCTCTCTTTTGCTCTGCCTCTCTTCTGCTGGTTCTCTCAGCGCGCAGTATATATAACTGTGGTGTCAACGGCGCGAGAGAAAGAAGGAGGGAGGGAAAGAGAAAAATAAAAGAGAGATCAGCAGCAAGCCGCACATATATAGTGCCTCTCTGTATACATATATAAGGTACACCTCTCTCTCTCTCTCTCTCTCTCTTTAGTCTCTTTTGGTACTTCGCTTCGGATCGGAGCATTCGGAGCAACAGAGAGAGGGAGTACAGTGCTGGTGGATGGTAGTGGTGCTGGCGGTGGCACATACTTTACCGTGCTTCTCTTATGGTATATATACACATATATACCTGTATATAGCTTTCCAACCCACCTACCTACCTACTACGGCACATACCCATATAGATTTATACCTGCACGCAGGCCAACCAGTCAGCCAGCAGGCAAATGCAAGGCAGTCGTTTCTCCCGTGGTTATTCGCGTGCAACGTTTTTCGGCTGCAGTTTTTAACTTATTCGCGTGTGTGTTTTACAACGTTGTTGGTTTGTACACGAGTACGTATAAATAAGGTAAATTAATCGTCGTACAATATACCTGTAATAGCAGATATGAAGAACAAGTGAGTTAAAGTGAGTGTGAGTGCGCGATGGAAAGGAGGGACCTTTGCATGGGTACGATGGTATAAATATATACACCTCGACCAAGGGAACGCGTGGTGCATGTGCACGGGGAGGGAAATCTTTTTCTCGTGCGTATTTTGCTGTGTGCTCCGATTTCTTTCTCAGTTGTAATTGATCTGCGAAATCCGTCAGGAGCCAGCTGAGGCGGAGCTTCGTTCGGTTTTTCTCTCTGTATCTTTCGTTGGCATTTGACTTTGAAAGAAAGAGACGAGGGAAGAGGTCGTCTGATATTGACGAGCAGAGAGCTCCAGAGGTGTCGGAGAGGAAACAAGAAAGACAACAACAACAACAACAACAACAACAACGTGCAACTTTGGAGCAAGAGGAGGAGGAGGAGGAGGAGGACCGCAACACTCTGGCGCCTTTTTTTTCATTTCGGAGCACACACACGTCAGGTAAGCAGCTACGTATAGGTATGCGCTTCCCTGTTGCTACATGGCACTCTCCCTCTTTTTCTTTCTCTCGTCCCTACGGAATGACGCCGATGCTTCTGCTGCTGCTGGTCATCATCATTTCTTTTTTTTTTTTTCCCTGTACGCTTCTTCCTCCTCCTCCTCTGCTTCTTCTTGTTTCTCTTTTTATCTTGTCTCCCTGTTTGCCAAGGCAGGTGACCATAGGCACTCTCTCTCTCTCTCTCTTGGCTACACCTGCACGCTGCTGCTGCTTGACCTGAGCTCTCTTACTGTTACTACTGCTGATGCTGCTGATGCTTTTCTTTACTGCCGGTGTAAACGACCGCAAGTTTAGTTGGGGCTGCTATGTATATATGCTCCTCGTTGCGATCGAGAGTTTATATTATACAGCCTTTCCCTTTTTTTTTTACAACTGCATACTGCAGCACGTGTAAAACATAAGTGCCACACAGAGCGCGGTAGGAATTATACGGGCGACGAGCAGATGTTTTACGACGAAGCGTGCGCAAAATGTATGAAAGTACTTATACTTATATATACCTTCTCGCTTATATGCGTGCCGTTTTACTTGAAAAGAAAAAGAAAAAAAAGGGTAAAAGTGAGTATAGATACGATGCTTCCCGAGACCTTGGATTCTGATAAGCGGCACTGCCCGACTGGTTAATTAAATCCATTAGCTTGATTATTTCATTCGTTACGCTCTCCCTTGTCCTTCGCACACCCTCCCCAAACCCTGTGCTATTATTTATTTGTCTCAGTTTATTAAAAGACCCGTATAGGATTTTTCTTTCAACTCGTACCTGTCGCTATAATATAAGTAAGTAGATATACGTTTTTTCGTTTTTTGTAACCACAATCGATGCTGACATCACACGCGAGTCTGACGTTATAGGTATGTTGGAAAAAGAAAATATAGTTACTCTAGTGGTGTTTACAATTCAGCAAGTCAACATAGAGGTGATTCACCTTTTACGATCGTGCCTAGCCAGTGCATTTCTCCCGTTTGGTGTACGTACAATATATAAGTAGACCTAAGCGATCGAGGTCGGTGATTTTTTTTTTTTTTTCCTTTCAAAAACACCGCTGATAAGTTCGAACGACTTTTATTGCAGCGGACGACGAAAAAAAAGTACTTTGGAATAAAACTCGGCTAATAAATGTTTCAAGATCAAGCCTCGAGAGAGAAAGAAAAAAAAAACAGTTCTATCTTATTTTCATCTTTCTGTTTGCGAAGGAACTGATACATATAAATATATACATATTTACGCGATAGTAAGCTAAGATTTACGCTATCGGGCATTTATCTCTTTTTTTTTTTTGGCAGACGAAAACAACGACAAGAGTCGAGGGAAAAAAAAAACAAAAAACTTTTTGTGCTCCCCCTGAATTACTTATTTATACATCCTCTGCGGTTATTTAAACATCACATACGGTATACAAATGCAGGAATTCCAAATCATAAATAAAATAGAGTTTGAGATTTTCATAATTACGTAACGGTTCTCCTTTAATGCGATGCACTTCAAAATTTTTATTTGTTGCTCCCTCTCTCTCGGCTGATTAATGATATCTTTGGTGCAGTGCACACGCAAGTACGTGTAACGAGACCCCCTCCTCTTTCTCTTCTTTCCCCATTAATAATTATCGCGGAATTTCTGTACGTATACGTATACACGAGATAAATCAGAATCGCATTTTACCACCTGATTTATGTAATAATCCTCTAACGACGTTATCGGTCCAGGTATTACGGCTGTATTGTAAATCATATTGTACTTGTTCTGTCTCTAAATTGAATGAGGAGTGTGCGTACGAGTCTAGAAACTGCTGTGTTCTCTCAGCACGACAATGTCTCCAGGTCGAGGACAAAAAAAAAAAAAAAAAAGAAGAAGAAAATACCGGTATCCTGTGACACAAGCCTTGAGTATTTTTTCGTGAAGTAAGTACCATTGCTTGATTTACGTACCCCTCAACGTGCGCAGTTATACTCCTCGATCGATTCGTCAGACGAAAATATTCCAAACACCCCGCGATCCGCTGACACATGCTCAAACACATGAGCGGGACTTACTCGTTCGTGTATATACCTAAGGAAACAACGACATCGTCATCGCGCTATATATAAAAAAAAAAAAAGTAAGTGATGAACCTCGAGAGAGGAAAAGTTTTCTGTTTTGCGTCCTATAGCGGGTAACTGTAGAGGAAAAAACAAGTTGTAAACGCGAAATTCCTTCTCTGGCAATATATTAGGCAAAAAGCTCACGACTTCAGTTACAATACGTGTGTACCTATTCGCGGAGTATTCGCTCCGAGCCGATACAGAGGTTGCGCAACATATATACATGCGTATAGCTGCTTGTGATTGGCTGAATATGACAGCAGGAGAGGATCGTCGTTCTCTCTCTAGCTTGCCAAGTGCCAATCACAAGCAGCTATACGTATGTATATATGTTCTAAACCGTTTGTTTACATGCAAGAAATGTTGCCTGATTTTGGCTAGAGGGGGCGCAACCTCTGCATCGGCTCGGAGCGAATAAGCATAGAAGAGACAAGCAACGTAAGGCCCTTCGTTGTCGTCGAGTCGGAGTCGATGTGACCCACTTTCGTCTCCGCGACGACGCTAGACGATACACAGGTACGTACCCTATCTCGCGCTGCTTTTACGATGGCCCCCATTTTTTTTCTATACTCGTTTTTTTTTTTTTTTTGTTTTTTTTTTTTACGCGATACCGATCGGCGCCTGCGATCGCAATTGCGTCGCTTTTATGTAAACGTTTTTTTTTTTTTTTTATCGCTCGTACCTGTAAGTACATGATATGTATGTCAAATAGAAAAAGACATTCTCCGGCATACGGGCGGGTTCAACGCTTTTTCGGAGTCAGTATTAATTTAGCTTTACTCCGCTCGAAATACGTATTACTATGTATCAGATTTTCTTTTCTCCACTCTGCAGTTGGTCCTCGGCAATAACCCTGAAATTATTTTTTAAAAATGAAATGATGATTTCAGCATCTTTTGATCCAATTACGGCCGCTGGCTCTCGTTATTTTTCGCGAGCTCTTAACAACATCTAATAGTCAGCAAAAACGTATTTGCGGCAGTGCACGTGTACACACGTATATAAACGTTGAAATTCGTTTGAAAAAAAAAAAAAAAAAAAAAAAATCACCCGAGCAATTACTCGAAAATAATTCAAGGTAACACACTGTACTAGCGACAAAAAAAAATGAAAAAAAGTTCTACTCTGTTAATTTTTTTTTTGATTTCGTAAAAAATTGCACGCTTCTGTTTTTCTCGGTCTCGTGGATTCCGCAAAGTTTGCAATCATATCGAGGCAAGCGGCAGATTACGTTGCCAAGAGGATCTCGAGTTTGACTGTTCAACGTTACACCTAGAGGTGATATTCGATTAAACGTGAGGAGAGTTATTAAAAGATCACAGTCGCGTACTCCTTTCTCTTGAAAAAAAAAAAAAAAGTAAGAGTCCGAACGATTTATTTACTCTCCTCTCGCGCACAACAATAATATACACCCATACGTAAAATTTGGGTACGGGATGGGTATACCTACTTTGGTGTACTGCGTCATCATTGCTCAGCAGTGCTTCACGTCTCGTATAATGGAGCACACACACACGTGCGCAGCGTCCACAGACAAACAACAAAATCTGTGGTGATGACGCAATACACACGTATACATGCACATCGGTAGAGCAGAACGCAGATTACACTCTGCTATTAACACTTATACATGTAACAGTCGAGTACATAATATTATACTAGTAGTAGCAAGGCGCGACCTACTTGTCGCCCGAGCTGTCGTCTCTCCCCTTGATTACCCGACGATTTGTGCGAGGCTCAATTATGCGCATCTTCTTCTCACACCCGCAATCGTTTCTCCCGATCGTATAACAGATTAACGCAACATGGCTCAATGAATGCTGTTGTATACCATCAGATTCGATGGATATCTTTAACGTCTCGATACCAATCGCGCGACATCCACACGTCGGAGGAACGTATCAAATACATTTTTTTCTAATTAAACGTAATCGAGCACTCGCTCGCGCTATCGAATCGGATGATGGTCGCGCCCGAGACTCGTATATTTATGTATGTACGTTGATTGTCTTGTAAAAACGCAATTACATTTTCATGCGACACAACAGACGGACAATAGGGAGGGAGGGGGTGGAAGCTAAGAAAAGAGAAGAAAAATCGCGTTCGAGCTGTGCACCGCCCTCGCGTGCAGCGTCCGTGTTGGGCACGTCTGGGGCGTATTTTTTCGCTGTCCTGGCTTCTGTACGTGTATATAACTATACGTAAGCGTTGGCCGGCGGGTTGAAAAATAAATTAAAAAAAAAAAAAAAGTCAGAAGTGAGTGAGCGAATGATAAAAATAAACTTACACACATCCTTACCACGCGTACGTGAGTGTGTGTATGTGTGGATGAATCCATCGGTCTCCCGCTACGACGTCCTCTGATTATGGTACATCTGCTTATTTTAGTTAGCGCAACAAGGTTTTTAATTGACTTTTATTCGAACTCATAACGATGTTTATCCATGAAGAGATGCGATACCGGCAATCGGATCATACCGACGCGGTACGCATCAAATACTTCAAGAAAAAATCTCCCCCTCCCCGTTGCTCGTTTAACTTGCTTGTTTGGAAAAGTTTTTAGCTCCTTTCAAATTGTTACGCGCGATTACGGGAGCGAAACGAAACGTGCCCCCCCCCCCCCCGGTCGTTATACCTTCTTTCGTTTTTCTTGCTGATTAAGGTACAGTCGGGTTATTTCAAAGCAGGAAGGGCTGCCCCCCGCAACTAATAATCCGTACTTGGACCCCCGGGCTCTCTGCCTGTATTCCGCGTTGTATATATTATCGCGCTGGCGCTGCATTTGTGCCTATATATATATTTATATGTACATGGTCGTTGTTTTGCGCGCAGCGTGTCTCGATTCCAACTTATTTTCCATCCA